CCCCGCGCCCTGCCGCCGAGTTTTTTAATTAACCTCGGTGCTGCGGGCCGGCCCCTGGGCCTGCCTCCTCCTGGCGTTTTGGTTGTCTTTCTTTCCGGGGAGAGGTTGCCTAGTTGTAGCCGCATTTGGTAGAAGGAGCTGCAAGCTCTCACGTCTTTTGTAAATGTAAGCGGGAAAGGAGAGACGGTAGCCGGGACTCCTTCCTCACCTCCCGTTACAGGAGGTTACGTTGCAGGGTGCTTTCAGCCGTCGTTAGGCACCGGAAAATCCAATTCTCCGTTAAGGTTTCTGAGCTGGGTGCTTTTCTGATGGCATATAAGGAAGGGTATTGAAGAATGAAATGAATTCCCATACTCCTTTCCTTGGGATATCTCAAAAACTCAGTCGTGGGCATGCATCCATTGGCAATGCTTCTTGCGCTACAGCCACGTCACCAGAGCACGGCCAGCTACCGTGATCACCCTCTGGGTGCTCATAGACTCTTTAGCGTGGGGACCATCTTTTGGGCATTTTAAGTGCCTTCCTCTTAGGGTCATGTTGGCACTGCTAGTGCTGCATCACATTCATTCAGAGGCATGCTTTAAATCATGAAAAAAAAAAAAAAACCCAGAAAATACCATTCTCTTTGTTGGGCTGCCAGCAGCAGGCGTGGGAGCTGTTAAAGTTGCCAGTGTTTGGCGTTGAACAAAAGCAGTGTGTACTTCCTTCACCAGTGAGTTCTGTTGTGCCCTTGCTCAATTGGCTGCCTTCCCCTTGTCTCTTCCTATTTCCTGCTTCCCCTGTTAGATCGGGAAGGGAGTGATGAAAGGAGAAGCTGAACAAGTACATTCAGCACAAGAAGAGCTATAACAGGTCAGTTAGAGGTCCATGTAGGTCTGTAACCTACCTTCAACAAAGGCCGTCTACAGACGCCTAGAAGAGAGTGAGAGGCTGTAGAGGTACCTGACTTCCTCCCACCCTTCCAGTGTCCATTAATTTGATTTCCTGAACCAGAAGAAATGCCCTAATTTTATTAGGATTGTTTCCTATTTGTTCTCTTGATTCTTTTCATGGTTCTATAGCTACTTATCTCCCTTCATTGTCTCTTTCCAGTCTGAAGAGTTTGGATCTATTTTAGCCATCCTTTGTATGGAAGTTATTCCATAGCTTGGACCATATTTGTCCTCCTTCACTTTCTAATATAGTCTTTTCATTAAGGGCCAGACCTGCAGATATTATGCAGTGCATCAAAGGTACAGTGGCACAACAGCACTTTCTGTTTCGTTTTCTGCTGCTTTCCTAATAGCCCCTACTGTTTGATTTTATTGATGGCTTCTGAGCTTGGAACTGGTGTTTGCACAGAGTTATCCCATCATTATCCTTAGATCTCATTCCTAACTGGTAATAGTCAGTTCAGAAGTTATCACTGTCTGTGTGAAGACAGGACAGTTTCTGCCTTCTTGTGTTAATGTACACTGAATTTCAGCTGCCATTTTATCATCCAGTGTATCATAGGGTCTTTCAGCAGTTCTTCGTAATTCACCCTAATGATGATTTTCCTGAATAACGTAGTGCTCTCAGCAAGCCTTTTCACTTTGCTATTTATCCTCTTTTTCTGACCATTTATGAATATGTTGAATAGTACAGGCCTGAAGATGCCTACGCTGGGGGACTTCCCTCAGCTGTGAAGAACTTTTGGAAATCTTAAGTCAACAGTATGAACTTGGCTCTCCCTTGTCGACATACTTCTTGTTGACACCCTCTAATAATTTCAGTATGTGTCTGAGGTACACGTTCTCTACAGAGGCCTTGCTGGCTTTTCCGTATGTTAGTATAGTTTTTCTTGATTTGGCTTCCTGGTCTCTAGTTATCTGGATCTCCCCTAAGATCCAGGTGCCACATTTGCTACCTTTATGTCCTCTATTACCAGGGGAATTTTAAGTGAGAGCTCACACACCACAGATAGTAATTCAACTCTTTCCTCCCTGCGTTGTTCAAAACACAGGTGAAAGCCTCCTGATACCAGCAAGTTGTCAAACGTCAAATTGGTGGATAGCTACGTATACTGGCACTTCAGTAGGAAATACCTTGACTGAACACTCAGATATTCCCATTCATAAAAGTCACGGAAACAAGCATGGTGCTAAGCAGCTCCCACTCATTCCAGTAGGCCTCCATTTATTTTTTTTGTCTCGTTCTCTAAAACTATCCTATTTAAGTGGGTCCCATCTTCTTACGTCTTAAACGTTTGTTTCAGCATCACTGTGCTGTCGAGGTTGCTGCTTCAACTGTACGTCCCCAATATCTTTTTTCCCTCTTTCACCTAGAAAACAGCACCCAGTTGGCAGAAATAAATGAGGCTTTTTTTTTTGTCCTAAAATTTGTAGAATTGACTATGCCAATGTAGAGAAAGAGGGAGAAGTACAAAGGAGAGCAAGGTAAGGTGTTGAGGGGTGTTGTTTGCAGGTGGCCTTATACTGATTGCAGTTTCTTCTGATCTGTTGGTGTGAATTTCACCAGGAAGTTCGCATTGCTGTTCCTGCTTTGCAGCTACATTGAATTTTTCAAGGCTCTGGAGCAGATCTAGCATTGTATCACTTTTCACAAGAACAGAAGTTATACTAGAACAACAGCCAATGATTGATGCAGCAAAAAGATTTGCAGCTGCCTTTGAACATTAAGTACCTTCCCATCCCCAGACGAATACCCAAAGTAAATCATAGCTTATTCCTTCTCATACAAATCTCTTGTAGTTTGTTTGGTAGCATGTTCCTCAGGAAGAAAAAAGTACCTCTTTGATTTGATACAACTTCCCCACCTATGAATTATATATAAGCAAAATTGTATTTTCTCCTTCTTTAGAAGAATTTTCTGCTAATGGAAAAGTAGCTTCTCATTTAGAAAATCAAATATCTCCAGTATAAGAAAGGGTTACATGAGACCTCAGGGCACATAAGGCAACTGGCTCCTCTTCACCTCCCAAATACCCTAATTAAAGGTAAGCCTCAAACTCTGTTTTGTTAAATGTCATTGTAACATAACGTATATGAACTATTCCAGCTACAATTTATGGCTGCTTTATGCGTTGGACCTGTAATAAGCTCCCTTTAAGCAGTTCCTATGGTTTCTGAACACCTGCAGGACTCAGAGCACATGGATTTATGACAGTTGTGGGGCTTTAGATACAGTAGTTTCAGTGAGCCACCTTTGCTAACATGTGATGCATTGTGCTGTGGAAACTCCCCTTACAATTTTTAGATTAGATTAATCTAAAGTCAGTCATTAGATTACTATATATTTTTTTTTGGTAAAAATTGATGGATAATTGTGTTATTTTGAATTGCAACATCATTTCATAATCTTGCGTATAAATCTTCAGAATGCAGTAATTTAATAATTTTCCAGTGGATTTGTGTACATATCTTTAAAACATCCATTGTTGTGATAGAATGTAGTGCCACCACTTCCCACCTCATCTATCTGTTTTTATCTGTTTTAGCCCTTCTCCTAGCTAGCATGGTGAAACTCCTGCCTTGGAGTTATTTGTAATGGAAACAGATGTACTGAGCCTCCCCTACAGTTCTGTGACATTTTTACGTAGGTAAGGAAAATGGACAGAAAAAGAGAGATCCTAGGCGTAGTTGTGAGCTTGAACGTTCTCTGGTGAAACATTACCTTCTGACTGACATAACTTTATCGTTGACCACCAAGGGTTTAGCAGTTTAGTGTGATATGTTTGCTTGCAAATGTTTTTGATCACCTCTCAGCCTACATTTCAATACACATTCGGAGTGTCCCTCGCACTATCCATGCATATCCAAAAAGGAATCTCTAAGAATAGGACTAATAATTTCCTCAGTGGTGATCTGACAGGATGGTTACTTTTGAATACTTGG